CATGCTAAGCAGCGGGGTGAACCAACAGATGATGTTGAAAGAAAATGGGCAACCTTTCTAAGCTGTAGAAGGGATGCATCCCTTCTGATCAATGAAAAGATTAGAAGGAAGGGAGCTCAGTGGCTGGCAGAAGTACATAAAAAAGATAGAAAGGCAGCTGCGAAATTTTGGAACCATCTAAACTCCCTAAGAAATGAGACGACCCTAGAGCAGAGTTTTATAACTACAGCCCAAGGTGCTAGGCTAGAAGGGGACGAAGCTATTGAATATATAAGAACAAGGGTGACAGAAAAATTTCAACAAAGAGGTACTTTATGCACCACAATAGACAAGGACGAATCAAGTAGTGCAATGGCTCCATTTTTACAACAAGATTGGGAAAGGGCTGAGAAAAGTGTTCCTGGTGGTACATCAACAGGCCCAGGTGGCATTCCAATTAGGCTGGTAAAGACATTAGGTCCGAAATCTAAGCAGGCTTTGAGAGTGGCAGTGAGCAAAATAATAATCGATGGGGAAGTTCCCAATGGATGGAAACTTAGCAGGATGAGCATGATCTATAAAGGAAAGGGGGACAAAGCTGACATAAACAACTACCGTCCTATAACAGTGACATCAGTGGTCTACAGGCTGGCGATGCAAATCATAAAGGAAAGACTGCAGGCGTGGATAGAGGATGAGGGGGTGCTGGGGGAACTGCAGAATGGGTTTCGGAAACACAGGAGGTTGGAAGACAATCTGTTCTCACTGACGCAGTGCATCGAAATAGCAGAAAAGGAACACAGGCCCCTGTGGCTAGCATTTTTGGATATCAAGGGAGCGTACGATAGCGTGGTTCAAGAGGAATTGTGGGGAATACTGGACACACTAGGCGTGGAACATGTAGTCACTAATCTTTTAAAGGGTATCTATAAAGGTAACAAGGTAGTTATAAAGTGGGAAAAACAGGTATCCAAGCCTGCAGAGGTAAAACGGGGGCTTAGGCAGGGGTGCCCCCTGTCACCCTTATTATTCATGATGTACCTACAAGGATTAGAGGCAAAATTAGAGGGACGTGGACTGGGCTTCAACCTCTCTTTAGTCAAACAAGGAAAACTTATTGATCAGGCACTACCAGCATTAATGTACGCAGATGATATAGTGCTAATGGCCAACAACAAGGAAGATTTGCAGAGATTGATGGACATCTGCGGTAATGAGGGAGATAGGTTAGATTTTAGATTCAGTAAGGAAAAATCAGCAGTCATGATTTTCAATGACAACGAAGGTAGTGAGCTTAGAATACAGGAGGTCACGCTAGAGATAACAGATAAATACAAATATTTGGGCGTATGGATAAGCAATGGGACCGAGTATCTGAGGGAACACGAAATATACGTGACGACTAAAGGTAACAGGAATGCAGCAGTCATGAAAAATAGGGCACTGTGGAATTACAATAGGTATGATGTTGTGAGAGGAATATGGAAAGGGGTCATGGTTCCTGGACTGACGTTCGGCAATGCGGTCTTGTGCATGAGATCAGAAGTTCAAGCAAGATTAGAAATTAAGCAACGTGGAATAGGTAGGCTTGCTTTAGGAGCTCACGGGAATACACCAAATCAGGGAGTACAAGGTGATATGGGATGGACATCATTTGAGGGCCGGGAAGCTAGCAGCAAGATAAAATTTGAGAAACGATTGAGAGAAATGGGGGAAGAGCGCTGGGCTAGGAAGGTTTTCAGCTACTTGTACATGAAGAATGTCGATACAAAATGGAGGAAGCGAACCAGGAAGTTGACTGGTAAATACTTAGAAAACAGCAGGTGGCCAAACCAAAAAGAACTATCGGTTAAGAAGAAAGTGAAGGAAACGGAGACTGACATGTGGAGAATAGGCATGATTAAGAAGTCCGCACTAGAGATCTATCGCACTTTTACGCAGGAAATTGCCAAGGAAAGAATTTATGATAATACTCGGGGTAGTTCTCTACTGTTTGAGGCCAGGACGGGAGTACTGCGAACCAAGACATACCGGGCCAAATACGAAGGGGTAGACACAGTATGCAGTGCGTGTGGAGAGGAAGAAGAAACTGCCGAACACTTGATAATGTTCTGTAAAGGGCTTCACCCTATAGTTCAGGATGATGGCGCAGAGTTTTTCAAAGCACTGGGGTTTAGGGACCGGGAGGGCAAAATAAATTTTAAGCGGGTAGACTTAACCAGAAGGAGGTTATCTGATTGGTGGCTAAAGTCAAGACACGAGTGAAAATTGAACCCTTCACTGCAAAGTACGAATCCTCAAACTCACTTTTTAAGGAAAAAAAAATAAATATAGTTTTTGGTTCATTAGGTATTACGGCTTGGTGGCGCTAGCCACCGCCCGATATAAAGGGTACAGCCATATCCATCCATTATCACGGCGGCGGGCGGTACCAGCCACGGAGGAAGGAAAGGAAAGGAGAGGCCCTGGCGTCACTCGTTGTGAAGCCGCGATGAAGCCGGCCATATTGACTAGGCAAATTCTCCTCTCTTGTTTACATATAAATGCGAAGCAGAAGGCGCGACTCCCTCTCCGGCTCGGAAAGCACATGGGCTGCGCAGCGCGTGTGTCGTGACGATCCGAAACTAATTGAACTGGGCTCATCACTCTGAGCCAGCAGGACACCTTCAGCGAAATTGCTTCGTCCGAGTAATAACAGGGAGTAACAGCTCGCCGACAACGAAGCAACTACGAGAGAACGCGCGCTAGGTGCACTGACAACGGCGAGTGCTTTCACGTCATTAATTCAGCAACTGTACAGACAACACGATCGGTCGTGCGCCTTCTACGGTTGCATTCCGCCACGCGGCCGACGCAGCGTCCTGCCACTGTGTCCGTGTACCGCGTGAAACTCACCGGCGTCAGCATTGTGCGACCGTGGTGACTTTGAGCACGGTGCTAGTGACCTTTCCTTTCTCCGGGGTACCAGCTAAACGTTTTTCATCTGCGGCCCATAGGGGCGCGTCAGTCGAGAATTGTTCGAGACCTGCAATTGTGCATCACTGTTTCGGAGGCTATGCAAAGTGTTGCGTTGTTGCACCGTCCGCCACAAGTGACGCTAGCGACCGAGAAGCATTTTTAGAATGAAGAGAGAAAGGGTGTGCCAGCTGTTTTTCTTCTCGTGCGGCAGGCATCTTCCTAGAGGAGGCGTTGTACGAGCTAAGCGTTTTTCATCTGCGGCCCATGGGAGCGCGTCAGTCGAGAGTTGTTCAAGACCTGCAACTGTACACCGCTATTTTGGAGGCTATGCAAAGTATTGCGTTGTTGCACCGTCTGCCACAGGTGACGCTAGCGACCGAGAACATTCTAAAGTAAAGGAGAGAAAGGGTGTGGCAGCCGTTTTTCTTCTCATGCGGCAGGCACAGAACACCTTCTAAAGGAGGCGTTGGTGTGACTGACCGGACGCACATGCATGAAACCCCAGTGCGTCGGCGAAGTGTTCATACGGTGGATGGAAACAACTTTATTGTAATGTTCTTACGAAGCCTGTGATCTACGAAGGCCAGAGCTACTGCATTGCCGTCTGTTTTGTCAAGTGCGAACACGTACGGCCGTTTTCATCCGTTGTTACGTGAATGTACCCGTGCTGTCACAGGCCGTGCGTGTTATTGAGCAGGGCAGACAAGCTGTTTTGTAGTTAGAAGGGCTAACGCCGTCGGCACTTGCCCTTGGGCATTGTTTGTCAAGTGCTTATCGCCTAGAACATTGCGGTGACACGTCAGTATTTAAAAAAAAAAAACGGCCTGCCGGTTACCTCGTCAGGTGGTGGTACACTGAGCGACATAAAAAAAAGTGTCCCGAGACTACGTTGCAGTGCACCTTTCTGTCATCAAAACTTTGATAAACCGTGAAAATCAACATTCCTGACACCTGTGCCGAAGAAACCAATGCATCCATCTGCATTCGAGTTTTTTTGTGTCTTTTTGCGTCTCGCCGATTAAGAGCACTAATTCGCAAAACACTTTATCATAATAAATATAGTCAATCCTGCAAGATTCATCGAAGATCCAATATTAAAGGGCCTGTGGACGGGACCACCACCAGCAGCAAGTCGGGCTGTTGAGGAGGCGCAAATGTTAAAACAATACATGCGCGAACAAAAAAAAAGAGAGAAAGTGTCGATAACTGCAATAGGACTTGAACCACCGACCTCACCAGTTAATGTGTTGCTTTAACCAACCACGCCGCAGCTGTCGATCAGTTTGAGATGACGAACAAGCTGGTTTTGTATTGTTGTCACGCTAAACCTAACTAACATTTTTGTTCACTTTTTCGTTTGGACGTAATTTTAACTGCTTTTATCGTTATGTCTAGACGTACCGCTAGACACTCCCGACCATGACCTACTACACTCCTGACCTGCCCAGAGAGCACCTCTTCCAGCGCCCACGTTCTAGTTCATACCTTCTGCCGCTAGGGCCGTCACCTACGAGCGGCGTGGCGCTAGGCAGCACCTGTTCGCTGACGTCACCTTCACTCTTTGTAGTCAAATTTTAACCAACAAAGCACTCGTAGTGCGAATTTATGATCCACAATTTAGAAATATCCAGAAATAATAATACTAAAAGACATTCAGAATTTTTTTTTGCAATAAAATGCACGCGACAACGCATAGGCTGTCCAAAATCATGTAAATCCACGGGTTTCCACGTTTGTCAACCAGTGTGCTATAAATTCTTAAGCGCACTGAACAGCTTACTTGACCAGCAATGTATGGGAAGAAATAGTCACATATATGCCGACAGTTCACCACAGAAAGCAGGCATTCTTATACCAGCGCCTACAAAACAACCGTAAAGAAGCAGACGAACAGGTTATAGGTAGCGCCACCTACGGCGAGCGATTGAACGAGAGCGGGGACACGCGCTCCCATAGGAACCCCGCTATCTGAACAGGTCAGGAGTGTAGTAGGTCATGCTCCCGACTATTCAAACAAAGCACCTAACCGGAAAATGCATGACGTCACTTCTGTGCGGCGCAGCAGCCGTTTCTGTGTGGGGTTGGCTCGTGCGCGGCGCAGCAGCCTCTGCCTTTCAGTTTCCCTTCAAAAGGAGTAAGCGGCGTCGTGCCTTGGTCGTTCGGAGATCGCCAGCAGTAGTGCTGGGAACCGAAAAACCACGAAGTTCATGCTCACTGGATTTTCAGCAGCTGCACCCGGCGACTATATCCCGGTGCACTCGCCTGCGCGATTGGCTATGCTGAACCGACGCCGGAAAGGCACGCTTTCGCTCTAGCCTCGAACAAGGTATTTCGTCGCCGCGTAGCTGGGCAGCGCTCACCGGTTTGCGGGCAGGCTGCGTGTCGATAGAGTCACTGGAAAAATTTTTTTTCTAGTGACTTTACGTGTCGATGCAGCATCTGACATCAATGCGCAAAAACACCGGGGCATATAAGAGCAACGCAAGGATGTGTTGCCCTTCGTTGCTGTGCTTTCAAGATGAATTTATTCCAACATTTTTAGCCTGCTTATGCCTAAACGACGTTTCAGCTGTATACCTTAGTATTCCTACAAGGCCGCGAATGAAAAATACAGCGCGTTTGTTGTCGTCTTTTTTTAACAGTGTGGTTGTTTGGAGCGTGAGCGTATGTCCCAAGAAATAAGTCGAGAGTTGTTGGTAATGAATAAGCAAACGATGACTGTGAAACATAATCGCATTTTATTTACTTGTTCTCTAACACGTAGTGCATTGTGGCAAATTGGTTGAAACATAATGGTAACTTCATAGCAAAAGCAAGTTTTTCCAATTCTAGCTAACTCTGTCATCCTGCAAGCAGATGTCACGTATATGTGGTGACGCATGTCTGATACTATGCTGATGGAAATCACCTGCAACAGTGTGCACTAGCTGGGTGCACAAAATGCTAGCGTAGCAAATGTGCTGAACGAGGATTGCTGCCGTACATCGCTGCGATTTTTTAGTGCATAATTGTGCAATGTGTCCTGCTCAGGAAGTGGCCATGTCAAGGAGAAACATAAAACATAATGACCAAGTTCATCTGAGGAAAACAAGTTCACTCGTGCAATTAACCTACGATCATATGAGCCTATTCTTTATCGTGACAAGGCCCATAGAAAATACAGGGTTTGTTGACAGGCAGACACAAAAATTTATTCGTGCCAGCACACAGTTATTGTATGTGGGGCACATCACCAAAATGCTCATGCTGCTATGCTGTAGCAGCTCAAAAATTGTGAATATTTGTTGCACAGAATACATATTAATTCAGCCTCGTCCTTGGGTTAAACAAATGGAGATAAAAAGGGTGGACAAACACTAAATTCCAACAGACAATTGTTCATAAGCACGCAGGTCGTATGTACTGCTCTAGTCCCAGTAATTACACATAGTGGTTGTTAGGGACTACAAACACTGTCACCTTCAATGTATGTTCAAAAGCACCGATTCATGTGGTTGATGATCAGTCAAAGGGGTAGTGAAGAATCGTACTTAATAATACTAAGTGCAGAATTTTTTTAACAAGAGGTGGCAACCAACTCTGATGAGCGCTATACTTCCAGATGGTTTTTATTTGCAGTGAATAATCTGTTCACAACCAACGCATAATAAATTTTGAGCATAAGGATGGGCAGCATGTTCACGCACACCTCCATCGATGCCACCATTATTAAGTGCACCGTGCAAAGCAGGCCTTTGGGGTCTGGAACACAAAGGTCCTGCTGGCACATCTTTAACCGCCTTATCTTTACAAACATTTGTTGCTCCTTTCTGTCTAAAAGTTTATGCACTTAGTGTTCTTGATTGTGCAGCATCATCTAGTTCAAATTAATGTCCCTAGTTTTCTCTTACCGAGGCTGCGACAACTGCCTCCTTTGCAGACCCGCTCTCACTCACGGCTGGCGTCTGCCGCCACATACTTCCTAACCAGGAAGGTTAGCAAAGCCATGCATGTTTAAGTAGATTAGCCATGCACCTTTCAGTGAACATTATGCAAACGTGACATGCATTTATCCTCCCGCTAATCCCATGTCATTTTATAGCGAAAGCTGTTATGAGATCACAACTCCGGTTACGCGCAGTTGTCTGCCGCCGCCGTCAGTGTCCGTAACCACATCGCGCGAAATGAGAAAAAAAAAACCTAGTACCAATGACACAGTGGTGCTCGAACCCGGGTACGCTGGGTGACGGCCCAGTATTTTACCACTGAGTTACGCCGGTGCTTATAACTTGTTGTCAAACTTGCCTTAGGCAGGCTTGATCTAGCACCAATGACACAGTGGGCCTCGAACCTGGGTTCGCTGGGTGCCAGCCCAGTATTCTACCACTGAGCTACACAGGTGCTTGTGACTAGTGGTCAAACTTCCCTTAAGCAGGCTTAATGTGGGGAAAGCAATCGCGTTAATACGACTTATATAGAGTTTTGAAACAGCGAAAAAACAACCAGTCGGCACACAATGGGAATAGTATAAAGAGTGCGCCGTCCAATACTCCAACCCATCTCAAAAGCATGTTCTTGTTCCCCTAATTAACCGCGTCGCGTACTCACTTCAGCCATATTTTCTCATCGTCATCAGCCACTGCATGAGCAATTGGCACAAAATTCCGCCCAAATGTTTAGCGATACCACGCTTCTCAGAAGAAGAACGAAAAGTAGCATAGCGAATGCCGGCCTACTACCCAAATATCATCATCAGCCTGACTACATCCACTGCAGGACAAAGGCCTCTCCCATGTTCCGCCAGTTAACTCGGTCCTGTGCTTGCTGCTGCCAATTTATACCCACAAACTTCTTAATCTCACCTGCCCACCTAACCTTCTGTCTCCCCCAACCCGCTTGCCTTCTCTGGGAATCCACTCAGTTACCCTTGATGACCAGCGGTTATCCTGTCTACCGCTACATGCCTGGCCCATGTCCATTTCCTCTTCTTGATTTCAACTATGATATCCTTAACCCCCAAATACATTTATTACAAATTACCTAGTGGGTATCAAGCAAGTGTGCTTACAGTAGTTACCCAATGAGTGTTTTGAAAAGGCTCTGAAAGGCCACTCTTCTAGCTTTCGCTGTGACTGTGCTGCACTTTCTGTGCAGGCCTGGCCCTTTTTTTTTACACTTCCCCACTCGTTCACCAGGCCCACTCTTTAAGCAGAACATGCCTAGCGAGAACGAGCCTGAAGCCATGAGATTTGTTGGTGGCATTTCAACAGATGTGCTACCTAAGGAGAAGATAAAAAAATCTAAACAAATTAGCTCAGATCATTGCGATGTATTAAATTGTATGGTGCAGAATACAGGACAAAAGACAAGCACACATGGACACTTCGTTTTTTGTCCTTTCTTCTGCACTGTACAATTCAATACGCTCCAGTCAAGACACAGCTAGCCCCGCTGTCTGTTCTCTTGTTCAAACCATCACGTTAACATTGAGTGAAGAGCATGACGGCAATATTGTTATTTAACAAATGAGCTGCATGACATCATTGCGGCAAGGCAGTGTTAGACAACAAGTCCACAAGAAGCAGACTGGTCTTCAGCTGTATCCGCAACCAAAGTTTTTTTTTTATTACTGAAAACTTTCCGGGTATGCAGTCTGAATCGGTCATGCAAAAAGTCGCAAAATGTGTCAGTGGTCCACAACAAGATAACACTGACAAATGGGGACATGGTATACGTGGAACAGAGAAGGCAAAACGTACAGCATCAATGTGGCACTTGACTACACGCATATTGATTGGACAGCGAAATTGTTTAGGTGTGAGAGTTACAAATGCCCAACTTGCACACTGGTTTTCAGTCGGGTTATGTGGAGGCTGCGTGTTATTTCTCTTGTGGCTTGTTTGTATGACGTTAAAGGATTACAGTGCCATTGAAATCCGCATTGCAATCACACAAGACACAATGATTGGCTAGCTGGTAGGATGTGGCAGTTGAGAGAGAGTGTCAGTGCTCTCTAAGTGCAGAGCACATTAGTGTGGCAGGCTGCTGTCGTCATGTTGCGTAATTCAGGCAAAACCGCATATAAGATTGGCATGGCGCACGCTCACGGCAAAGAGAAGGCTTTTCTTCTTGTAATTCGAGCTTGTTGATTATTATATTAATGCACTTAGAGCCGAGCCATCTGTAGCATATGAAGGGTGTTCAGGCCAAAGAAAATCTTCTTTCTCCTCTTGTTCATCTAGTGTAGTCACAATGATATCAAGTGCAAAGCACTTCAAATTTTTCGTTTCTGCGCAAAAATGACTGTTTTTTATATGTCTCGGGAATACAGTCAAGCCTGCTTATAACGAACCGGAGCCTGACGTGGCATCCGTTCGCTGTATCCCGAAGTTCGTAGTAAATGAAACAGCTTTTAAAAAAATTGCGATGGAAAACACAAGCTTTTTTTGCTCAAAAAAGTCCGTGATGCACGTGCTTCGAAGAGCAGAAGAGATAAAGGCGGTCTCGAGTTCATTTAAAACGGCAGGGTGCTCGTTCTCCCAGGCCCGTGGCATAAGCTGCATGAGACACTGGCTCCAAAGTTTCGTTGTTCTCGCAATTCGATTCCTCCAAATCGCTCTCACCACGTACTTCATTCACAATGCCCTGGTCCGTGCACGGTTCTGCATTTTCGGCATCATCATAGGCCATAATGAAATCATCGCTACAGATGTCCCACCCGTTCTCCCAGGTTGGAGTCAACGACGCACTGCTTGATCGGTGGTCGAAAGTGGTTTCAGGGGACGTCAGCAGAGTGCCGACTCGGTTCACTGTAACCGATTAGTGGCGCTCGGAGACGTTCGTTGTAAGTGCGATTTTGTGCCATTGAACAAATGTGTTTTCACGGTCACACGGATATTGTTCGTTTTAAGCGAAAGCTTGTTTTGAATGGGGCCATTATATGTGGGCTTGACTGTATTGTTTTTGCGTGTTTCAAAAGTACTCCAGGACGCATTGCAGCATACCAAATCGTGCAAAATGTAATGCTCTTTCCAAAAAGTATATCTTGTACAGTACCGAAAATATTTTAGAATGAATAAAATGCGAAAAGTGTGTAATTCTTGGTTGCCAGCTGGTAAACCATGCTAAAAAAAAAAACAGTACAAATGCAAAATTGTTCAAAACGAAGAAAATTCAGAATATACATTTTGAAGATAAATGACACTAAAACAGTACTATAAACAATAATCAATGTTGTATAAAATGTTTCTATTTGCACAGACAAAGAAACCAGAGCCGAGGTACTGCTTCGTTGCTCGTGCCATGCTGCGAAGTATTGCTTAGTTTTTCTTGAGGCACAAGCAAAGT